ACGGCGCGCCGCCGCCCTGCAGCGATCCCAGATGCAGCTTCATGGCCGGAGGCGGAGGCGCCGCCTCTTCGCGGCCGCCCAGTGACTGCGAGGAGCCCGGTGTGACTTCGCGGTTTGACTCGCGGGCGAGCTGCACGCGGGCGGCGATGAGGGCGTCGCGGCCGCGGGAGGAGAGGTGCGAGGACTGGTCGTCGGTGAGCTCGACCTGGAGCAGCTCGCGGCCCAGGTCGAGCACAAAGGGCTTGTCGGGCGCGGGAACCGGCGACGGCGCCTCGCCGAGGGCGTGCCGAAGCGCCTCGCGAGCCGTGGCGCTCAGCGCCGACTCCTGCTCAGCGGTCAGGTGCAGCCGCGACAGCTCGTCGCCGACGTCGCGAGGTGCATCCTCGGCTCGCGGCGACTCCTCCACCTGGTTGAGCGCCGCGGCTGCCCTCGGGTCTGCCAGGGTAGTTGGCCCCTGGCGAGGCGTGGTGAGCGAGGCAGCCGCCGGCCGTCCGCGAGCCGTCTTGAGACTGGTCGTGCGTGTCACGCCGTACGTGTCGGTCGGCACCCTCAGAGGCTTGATCGTCGGGTTGATCGCGAGCCGCTTCTCCGACGGCGCCCCACGAGCGCTGCGAAGGGCGAGCGCCTGCGTGTCTCTACGCTGCTGCTGCTGCGACGGCTCAGCCGGCGGCTTTGGCTCCTTGGCGCCCAGGAAGCCAACCTTTTTCTTGAGCTTCTTCAGCATTTCTTCAGCTTTGCGGGGTCAAGGCGCGAGACTCCGATATGCAGTTGTAGTCGGCCGAACGGCAAGGTATGGGCTGAGCGAGCCGCCGGCCGACCAGCCGGGTGGGACGCATATAGTGGGCACGAGAATTTCTTTTTTATCATTCACCAAAAGCGCCTGGTCGGTCGGTTGGAATATTCGGCTGCTCTAGGAGTCGGCCTTGCTGGTTCGCCGTCCTCTTCCGAGTCCCCACAACAATCGCTGTCGTGGGATCGCTTGTCATGTGAGAGAGAGAGATCTCTCTTGTCATGTCAGAGAGATTTTAGACGCTCGCCTACCCACAATGGCGGCGGTGGCGATTGCGGCGACGGTCGTTCAGTCGTACAGCGCTCAGGGTCAGGCGCCTCTCGTCTGTCGTCTGTTGTCGCATTTCGCACACGCGCGCGACGCGCGACCCGCGTCGGCCGTCGCTCCGCGAGGGCATGAGCCTTCCGCGATTCGATCCCGCAGCCAAAAGCTGCTCGCTCGAACTGCGGCCGACTCTACCATCGCGGCCGCAGCTGTTGAGCTCTCCAGAAGACTGGTGCCTCATATGCTGCCTCCCTGCGGATGCTGCCGGCGAGCCTGGCGGTCCGCTGTACTACAAGGAAGTGCTGACTCGATTCTACCTCGAATTCTTCTACCCCACGACTCGGAACGCGAATGTGACAGGACCATCGGGTCCTTCAGCCACCAAAGCGAGATCACCCGAGAGCAGCTGAGCCTGCCTCTGGCCTCGCCTCCCTCTCCTTCAGGCATTCGTGGCATCCTATGGGTCGTCCAGAGTATCGACCTCTGGCTTGTCAGCCAGCCCCACTTTGAGGGCGCCATGAAGTACAGCGATCGCCACCTCGCTGGCCTCTCCGCAAGGCCCCCCGACCGCGTCGAACTCATCGGCGCGGGCTCTCTCGGCTACGGGACTGGCCCCAGCTTCGGCTGAGGGCTGACAAGCTGCCGAGCCCAAATCACTGTGAGAGTCGTGATTTCTTCTTGTCATGTGTGCTAGTGTTAACAGTAACAACAGAACAATGAGAGAGTCCGTTGTGTTCTTGTTTTGTATCCGCTTTCTCTTCCGACTGCGTCGCCTTCCTCGCACGCACGCACGCCGAGTTTCTTTTTTACTACTCGAGAAATTCGTGAGCCCAATCCGGGTGACTTTTTTCGTTGTATGCCTGGGTTGTGGGTTGTGATTACCGCGACGGGGCGTTTCATTCTTTTGAGCGTGAAACGTGTCGCCCGCTTAAATTTCTTTTGAGTCACCAGCTGCTGTCTAGCTCGGTCGCTCGGTCGCGCCTCGACCGCTCCCACCGCTGTGCACCATGAGCCTGTCGCTGCACGCCCTTCGCCTCGCGGGCTGCCTCTCTGCGGTGGCGTCGTGCGCCCTGCTGCTGCGACGGCTCCTTGCTTCTCGGCCGCGGCGCCTCGCCGAGCGGAGCTGTGCCGCCTGTCGCCCAACGCTGCGAGAGCACGGCGGAGAGCCGCGGAAACGCTGCGTCCGCACAGCGCCTCCGGTGGCAGAGGCGGCGGCTCCTCTTGCGACGGCGCAGGCGGACCCGAGCGACGCGCGTGCGCGTGCGCGGGCGCACCTCCGGTTCGGCAACCTCTGCGCGCGAGGCGGGCGGCCGGAGAAGGCACTCTCCCAGTACTTGGCGGCGGCGCGGGCCGACCCAGCCTATGCGACCGCGCGGCACAACTGCGGCGGCGTCTGCCAGCGGCTGCGCCGGTTCGCCGAGGCGGCGGAGCATTACGAGGCGGCGCTCGCGCTCAAGCCGAGGCTGGTGGAGGCGGCCACCAACCTGGCCGTCGCGCAGCTGAACGCCGGCGCGCAGCTCTCCGCGGCGGGGGACGCGGCCTCTGCCGGCGAGTGGTACCGGTCGGCGGTCGAGAGCGCGTACCGCGCGATGCGCGTGCAGGCGGGCGCGGTGGAGGGCGGCGCGGGTCGGGCCGAGGGCGGCGAGACGCAGGACGGCTTCGACAGCGGCGGCTTCAACAGCGGCGGCTTCAACAGCGAGGCGTTCGCCAACCTGAACGTCGCGCTCCGCCTCGTCGGCGAGAGAGAGCGAGCGGTGCGCGAGACGTGGGCTGCTGTCGCTTCCCTCTCTCCGGCCGGCTTCACGCGGCCGCCTCCCGCGCCAGCGCCGCCGCACCTCTCCCGCTGCCTCTCCCGCTGCCTCTCCTGCTCCGCCTCGGGCACGCCATCTTCGGGACCGACCCCTCCCGCCGCCCTGACGGTCGCTTGCGTCAAGTGGGGCGACAAGTGCGCTCAACCCCGTCCCCCCTCCCTCTCTCTCCCTCCCTCTCTCTCTCTCTCTCTCTCTCTCTCTCTCTCTCTCTGCGCCCCGCCGAGCCGCCGCTGGCCGCGTCCAGGTACGGTCCCGAGTACGTCAACCGCCTCTACGCCATGGTTGCGCGGCGGCTGCCGGGCGTCCCCTTCCGCTTCGCCTGCCTGACCGAGCAGCCGCGCGGCCTGCGGCGCGAGGTCGAGCCGCTCCCGCTGCCCGCCGCCTCTGCGGGCTGGCGTGGCTGGTGGCTCAAGGCGTGCCTCTTCACTAGTTAATGACCTAATTAGTTACTTACTGAGAAATTGAAGAGCGGCTCGTGGCTCAAGGCGTGCCTCTTCGCGCCCTGCTGCGGCCTCGAGGGGCGCACACTCTACCTCGACCTCGACACCGTGCTCGTCGGCGATCTCCGCCCGCTCCTCCGCTACAGCGGCCCGTTTGCGACCCTCTCTGCCGCCGGCTTCAGCGCCGAGGAGGGCGTCGCCGGCGGGTACAACTCGTCGCTCATGCTCTGGGAGGCAGGGGCGGAGGGAGGGGCGGAGGGAGGGGCGGAGGGAGGGGCGGAGGGAGGGGCGGAGGGAGGGGCGGAGGGAGGGGCCCGCCCCGACACGGCGGCTGCAGCTCTGCGCGCGCTCCACTCGTCGCTCGGCGAGCCCGTCTTCCGCTGCCTGATGCGGTGGGACCACTGGCTCGAGATGGTGGTGCCGACCGCCCACCTCGTGCAGGACGCCTTCCCGGGCCTCGTCGTCGACTACCGGCAGGCGTGCGCCGGCCGTGCCCGCCCGCCCGCCGGCGCCGCCGTTGTCTGCTTCCCGCGGTCGCCAAAGCCGCACGAGGCGCCCGAGCAGTGGGTGGCGCGGCACTGGACAGAGGGGGACGAGGACGCGGAGACGGCTTTGGAGGAGAGGACCTGCCATAGGAGCTTCAGCTTGGGCGATGCGTGAGAAGGAGCATGGGGCTTTTTTCCTAAAAAAGAAAGAAAACAGACACGCCAAACGAGGGATGGGACGAGGACAGGGTCCCCACCTGCACGAGCAGGATTTTGGAAGGACGATCAGGGGCACAGGTGGGGCTCTCCTGCTCCCCTGACAAGGATGACACGACAGGCTCGCAGCGCGGTGCGCGGTGGACTCCCACATCCACTGGCGGTCTCATCTCAGTCTAGCGACCTGCCTCCAGCTTGTCGCTGGCAGTCTCTCCTACCACAGGCACACTGACACAGGGGTGGCAGGGGCGGCGGCACGAGTCTCCCACATACTATGCGGGCCTCACTAGAGAAAACCGGAGAATTCTTTTTGCAGCACTGCGACAGGCGTGCGATGTCGAGCCTCTCCTCGCGCCTGTCTGGCCAAATGGTGCTCGCGCCGCTGACGCGCGGCGGCAACCTGCCCTTCCGCCGGCTCTGTGCCGAGTTTGGCGCCGAGGTCACGCTGGGAGAGATGATCTTCGCGCGGCAGCTCCTAAAGGGCGACGTGATCGAGCGGGCCCGCCTGCGGCGCGCGTCCAACGAGCAGGTCTTTGGCGTGCAGATCGCCACCAACGACGTCGAGGAGGGCGTCGGCGCGGCCAAGCTCGCAGCTGCGGCGGGCGCGGACTGGGTAGACCTGAACTGCGGCTGCCCCATCCACGAGGCGACCCGCCGCGGCCTCGGCTCTGCGATGCTGCGGCAGCCGGTGCGGCTCGAGCGGCTCGTGCGCGGCATCGCCGCGGGCTCGCCGCTGCCGGTCTCTGTCAAGGTGCGGCTCGCTTCGGAGGGCGGCGACGTCAACGTTCGCGAGGTGGTCGGTCGGCTGCGCGCCGCGGGCGCCGCAGCGGTGACGATCCATGGCCGCACGGCGGAGGCGCGCTACTCGAAGGCCGCCGACTGGCGCCTCATCGCCGAGTGCGTCGAGGACAACGCCGAGGCGGGAGGTGGCATGCCTCTCCTCGGCAACGGGGACCTACTGACGCAGTACGAGGCGCATGGCAGGATGGCGCAGTCGGGCGTGGACGGCGTCATGGTCGGCCGGGGAGCGCTCATCAAGCCGTGGATCTTCAAGGAGTTCCGCGACCGGCGCGCGTGGGAGCCGAGTGCGGCGGAGCGCGTGGCGGTCTACCGGCAGCTCGCCTGCTTCATGAAGGAGCACTTTGGCGACGACGCAAAGGGGCGGCGCAAGGCGTGGTACTTTCTGCCCTGGCACTTCGACTTCCTCTCTCGCTACCGGCCACTGCCCGAGGAAGAGTTTGGCGAGCGGGCGGCGGCGGCGCCCCTCATGCAGACGAGGGAGGAGACCTGCTCGAAGCCCTTCTCGGAGCCTTCTCGGAGCCTCCCAATAGGCCCCGCTCATGCAGACGAGGCTGCCCCCCGCGCCGGAGGGCACGGCGCCGCTCGAGCGGTTCCTCGCGCACGGAGACCCGAGCGTGCACGAGAGGGTGGCGGCGGCGCTCTGGGAGGCGAGCAGCGATGCGGGCGCGGTGGCGGCGCTCACGCGGCTGGCCGAGGGCGCGGAGCTCGCCGCGCTGGCGCGGGGCGGGGAGGAGGGCGAGGCGCCCGTGCTGGGCGAGGCGACCGAGCTGTCCAACATCCCATCCGACGGCGCGCAGGCGAGCGGCGCGCGCAGCGGCAAGAAGCACCGCCGCGCGCGAGCGCCACCCGTCGTGCGCACCGAGGAGGAGATCGCCGCGCTGCGCGCCGCTCGCGCGGCGAAGCGCGAGCGGACCGGAGCGCCGCCGCACCATGAGGGGAGGGCGGCGGCGCAGCGGGGCTGAGGAGACATTCAGAGAAGCCCGCAGTATGCACAACCCGGCACAGGCACGGGTATACCCGTGTACAAAATTCTCCTGC